AGGCCCGGCTCCGGACCCCGGCCCCGCACCCCGGCGGGTCCCGGTGCTCGTCCCCGCCTCTAGGTGCCCACACCCGAGCGAAGGAATCCCCCCAAAATCGGCAGATTTCCTCTTTCATCCCCCGCCCCGCGCTGCGCTGCGCGCACTCCTCAGGCTGGAGACACGGGCTTCTCCCCTTCTCGGGGGTGCTGGAAGTACCCGAAGGAAGTACCCGAGGGAATCCCATCTTTTCTGCCACACCAGGGTGTTTTATCCTGGTAAGCAGTTGCGTGAGACATCAGCCACTTGTGGAAAGTTTGTGAATTTTAAGTGCTACATTACAACATAAATTCTCTTCCATCTCTATAGGACAGATGCTCATGTCAGCATGATTCTGATTTTCCTGGCAACAGGGTAAATTGATTCAGCAGGTCAAGCACAGAAAGAGGAATAAAATGGACCCTTTACTCTCGTTTACACTCTTCCCCATCTATATTAGTATTGATTAAACTCACGTGAAGCAAATCAAATTCACATGCACTTTCAAGTGGAGCACAGACACTACTTTTTTCTTCTTTTTTTATTGTACTAATCATATTTCTATGACCAGGTAGAAATGACTTGCAATAGCAGACCTTGCACACTGCCTAGAACACATTTTCTGAACACAGGAAATAAATGAGAAATGCATTTAATGAGTAATACCTTTGGCACTAGTATAAAATGGCTACAATAAATGCCTTTTGTACTCGATTAAGTGTCAAGGGTTAGAACTTTGAAAGTTATTGTGCATAGCCGGTGGCACTGCTACGTACAATCTTCCACATCCTCTCTCCTATTGCTTCAGAAAGCATTCAGCCTCTGGAAGCCCTGCCATGTTGTTGTTCCTTTCCCTGTAAAGCCAAGTTCTATATAGCAGCAGTTGTGTCTGTAAGTACCGGAAGATTTTTCTCTGATTAAATAATTCTTAAGGGAAAAATTGCTTCCTGGAAACCAGAGCCTTAGTACAGAGATGAGGTTCCTAAGGAGTGTCTGCCCTGCTTGTTGTTTGACCACTTGTGTGCAAGAACTGATGCTGCTTGCAAGCAGAGCACACGACACACAGGTTAGAAGCACATTTCACATCCCTGCCCAGCCTCCTGCTAATGGTCATCACAAGGACCCACCAGCATCACAGCGTGGCTGCTGTTGGGAGACACAGTTACACCTACTATGTACAATGTTTTTAATGCTACAAGGAACTCCTCTCTCCAAAGGAGACATGAACACACGTGTCTTGGTCTGTATTTTGTGAAGCAGCACTTGCTGCAGCAGCAAGCTCAACTGCTGCTGCCAGCACTGGGCTCTCAGTGTGCCTGCCACGTGTCAGGCCAGCCTGCAGTGGGGAGGGATTTACCTTCACGGGAGACTCCACAGGGAGCACTGACTGTCTTTGGTGTGTAACTTTTATACAGGTGCCCAAATGAAGAGGGCAGATCTTGAAGATCTTGAGCTTGAGATGCACTTGGAAATTGGCATGTGAACCTGAGGGCTCTGCTGCATCTCTTTTATCTAATATCTATGTGTACCTCTACATACTCAAGCAGTGGGTACACAGAGTCCTCTGCAGCGTCGCCCTGTGAGACAGAAGCATGACTCCAGCACGCTGCTGTTGTCCTGCACACTTGGTGAATGTTTATTTAATTCTTGAAAGGGTAAACAGATTTGTCAAAAAGAGTTACAAGGGATCAGAGGGGGTTCAGAAATCCCACGGAGCTACATACTGTTCATGAACGGCGCAGCTCTGAGGTACTTTACATTCCGGGCAGCCAAAGGCACAGTCGCACAGTCCCATCAGAAGAAGGAGCAGCAAGTGAACAGAGTGTTGTGCTGCTGGCAGAGAGGTTATTTCAACTAAACTGGGTGACTTTGCATTGAAGTGGACGAGGGGCAGTCACATCACTTAAATGTGGCTGAGTGCAGGGAGTGGAAAGCTGAGCTCTGCTGCCGGACTGCTGAGGTTCTGAAATACCACGTAGGTCTTGGTTACACATCTGCACGGAGGGCAGCAACTCTGACCTCGTGTTTATTGGTAGAGAACAACCAAGTGGGTTTTCTGAATGATTCTTGCAGTATTTAACAAAATAAAACTTGTTTCCAATAAATATGAGTCAATATGGTGCACTAGGACATGGAAGAAGGTGTGTTCATTAGCACTATGCCCTCCTTTGAAGAACACAAGGCAATGAGTCCTCACTGCATTCTCTCACAATGTTTTTAAGCCTTATATACCACTGATACATGACTAGGGCCTGCCTCAGCTCAGACCTCGGATGGATGGCCCCTTTCATGGATGGGGCTCCCCATGGAGTGCCAGAGCAAGGGCTACTGCACAGACCTACCTGCCTTAAAGTGCATCAGTTGGTCTTTGCAAAGCCCACTGCAGCATTTGGAGTCTCGCCTCATGACTTCCTCACAGCTGTTGGTATCTTCATTTTTGTGTCACCTGGAACACCCTGTTCACAAAACCAACAAAAATATAAAAATATTAGGAAGAGGTAGATTTGTTTATAACCATTTTCTCTTGTGATGACACAGTCCTTTAATCTCAAGGTATGTCCACACTTGATTTAATGGAGCTGTCAGGTTCTCTGTGGTGAGGGAGCAAGAAACAGGAGAGCTGTGAGTCTGTTCCACTGCTTATCTTATTCTGTTCACTGTTGTAAACTAGTGCTGAATTACTCAAGCATAGACTCAAAGACAGGGTGGCAGGGAAGGAACACAGGTCTTTTTTTGCTGGCCTGAAGAGAAGGAGAAAAGGGAAAATTTAGTGTGAATCATATACAGAAGCAGACAATTTTGGAAGGGGAAAAAAAAAAAAAAAGGCTACCAAAAACCAGTTAAACTCTGAAAAATGCACTTTCTAAGGTGCTTAATGTGTTTGGTTGTTCTGCTTTTAAATAAAACATTATTTTTATTATTAGCATCCAAAGTAATTCAGAAAAGGCTCAGAAAAAAACCCTTTTTGAGTGCTGAACATCAGGATAAGCAGAGCTGGCAGCCATCTTTCCTTTATGGGAAAAGAGAGGTTTGTAAATGAAACGCCAACACCGTGCGAGACACAAATGCATCAGTGTAATAAGAATAGGAAAGCAGCAAGGCAGAGTGTGATATTCTGAGCCACTCGAAGGGATGAGTCATCGCCAGGGTGGGCTCACGCAGCTCCAGCCAGAAACACAGCCGCAACACACCCAGTTTTATCCTGCCACCAGAGAAAAAAACCCTTGGCCTCAATACAGCCTGCTTGAACTGTCAGGATAAGACCCCCAGTGCACCAGATGTCAAAAAGGCTTTCACCTATACTTATCAATTGGAAACATGCCCTAACAGCAGCTATCTCCTAAATCCATGTTATAATACACAATTAATGCAGTAAAGCCTGCTCAAGATTAGCTCTAAGATGGATTGTGTTTGGAATTGCTTCTGAAACTTATTTCTACAAACGGGCAAATTCTTTTGCCTCCTGCCAAGATTTGGTATCAGCAGGTGGGAGCACACAGGCCTATGAGAAAGCATTTGCAGGCAGCTGTAACCTTCTACAGAGCCCCTCCACGTAAGGACAGAGGCTGCCATCTACCAACAGCCATGGGGTGATGCATCATGTTGTCTAACTTTTTGCTTTGGTTTAGATAAAAATGTTTATGCCTATGCTGTTTCTTTCCATTTCCAACCCTTTTTTTTTTTTTTTTTTTTTTTGCATTTGAGCACATGGAATAAAACAACCTTCTAGAAGATGAGCAGATTTTATTTTTTAAACAAGCATCCTGTACTCTGCACAGAATCTGCCATTCAGTGACCCACAGCAGCAGATCTGATTTGGGATTTGCTTACCTCTTTCGTCAAGTTTAGAGAGAAGCACTATTTTTTCACTAATATTTCGTTGTCTCGATGATCTTTCAAAGAGCTCTTTAAAACCTAACTCTCAAAATAATAATGGTAATAACACACAAGCATTATCTAGCACTTTTTATCAACAGATCTCAAAGCTTTTCACCAGAAAGGCATATTTAATTATTCACAGATAGGAAAAAAGAGGCACAAGGTGAGAGCAGGTAGTTAAGTAACTTAACCGAAAATAAAATTTACATCTCCCATTACCTGCTTAAGTGCCTTATCCACTGCTCTGTACCTTGTAATAACACAAACTTCTCCCTAAAGCCTGCTGAAATCCCTGGAGGGTCTTTCACCAACTTCAGATGTCTCAATTTGAATCAAGCTTAAAGACTCTAATCCTTCACATGCAAACATGTCTGTGAGCTGCTGAGGTCACGCTGCACCCGTATGAACCAGTACTTCCTCACTGCAGGATGAGATACGAGACTGGGGCCTGTCCAGCCAGGCAAAAGCCTGTGGGAGACAGCAAAGCAGTCAACCAACAAGATTTTGAAAAAGATGCACATATGGTATCGCTTGGTAGATTTATTTTAAACTTCAGATGGCAAGAAGCACCGGGTTTAGCAGCTGCTCTAGTCTGTGCCAGAGCCAGATCTGAGGAAAAAGGAACAACTCTTTTGCCAGGTGCGCTTTGGCAGTGACAAGGTCCATCTTCAAATTGCAGGGATGCCCAGTAAAATGCAAAATGGAAAATAATCCCCCTGTTAAATGGCAGCAGTTCAACCACTTGCCCAGAAGTCTAAGAAACTGAATTATGCTGCCTTCATAACAAAGCATGAGCAATATTTCCCCACCTGCAAGCCAAGTGTTTAAACAAAGAGTTTTAAACAAATATAACTTTCCGGGGGGGGGGGGGGGGGGAGTTGTGAATAATGATCTGTGGGTGAGACAACCATCCTCAGGAAATCCTAGCAATAGCCCTTTCTTGCTGCCACAATACAGCTCCCACAGCTGAGGGAAAGGAACCGCGGTGACCCAGCCGTCCCCGGGCGCACAATTTGCTGCCCAGCCGCGGGGGACTCGGCTGGGTGAGCACGTCTCTGCATTCGAAGGGATGCGCCAGCCCGGAGACATGAACGCAGACGTGCCGTTCCGCGCTGCTGTTCAAGGAATCGGCTCAGGTAATGGCTGATGTTTCTTTGCTGTTCCTCGCCCACAGTCAGTGCTCTGCAGGTGGCCCGAGCGCAGCTCCGCTGCTCACTGCTCCGCTGGCAGCCCAAGGACCTCTACTGCAGACACCTCCCTCGACAACCGCTCCTTCCCTCTCCACCTCCAGACCTGCAGGCTACAGCACGGCTCACCCACACCTTATCTGACATCTTTTCTAGCATACAAATAGTTTACTTGCTTCCACTCCTAGGCTTTGAGGGGGTTTTTAAGCAAGAATGCCCCTAAATTTCAGGCAACAGACATGCAAATAAGCTGAGTAGCTCAGCCATCCCCCGTTGCTCAGCCTGTGACCTTCCCAGCAGAGTTCCCATCCAGCTGGTGCTTTCAAGCAGCCCTGGTTCATCAGCAAAGGGTCAAAACTGAACTTCTCTCACACACACCTTCAGAAGCACGGGGTACATAATGTTCCTTCACTCAGAACCTGCTAGTTCACTGACACCTATGCACACACGTTCAAATGCATGCGCTTGACAGGGGCTGTTGAGCCTGAAGGGAACAGCTGCAAAAGCAAAAGGAAAAGCAAATCACAAGCAATGTCTATTTGAATTCAAGGAAATCAGTGGATGCAGGAAGCAGTTAGAATACTATATGGGTGGGCCCCATACTGGGGTATCCATACCCTTTAGTGTCCACATTTTCTTCCCCTTCATCTCACCATGGTTATAGGACCAGTTAATCTCTTGGCCCCTTGTGCAGAACACCTCCATCTTCATCTCCTTTTGGACACCTGCACCTTCATCACAAGCCCAGCCAGCCACGCAGTATCTCTGTGCACGTATGAGTAGGCAACATTATTCTGGTTGCTGGGAACTAGAGTCTTTGAGATTATCAGAGCCACATTTCCAGCTGTCATTGGCTATGTCTGGATTAATAAATTCAAGAGGTCCACAGAGACTGAAACTGGTGATGATGCTTAATGATCAGAAAGGTCTCAGAATGCTTTTGGACACCACCGACTAACACTGCTCCAAACAGCTCATGGGATAGTAGAGAGTTAATACCAGCTAGTGACCAACTCATTGGGCAGGTTGCACACAACCTCCCTCTTTTGAAGGCTCAGAGAGTTTAGTATTACAGAGGTGACCAGCCCGTGCCATCCAGAACAGTATTCAGGAATAAATTTGCTATTTGTTCAGAAATATAGATTCAGCATTCACTGAGCTCATCCCAGGGACCTGGGATGCAGCTGACATTGCTCTGGTTGCCTTTGGCCCCAGATACTGATGGCTGACCTTATCCTGCCAGTGGAGCCAGACTTCTCTCTAGTTCACAAGGTGGGATCTTCCCCTTCATAAAAGGCTGTGGATATTTATAAATATGAATATTAAAACAGAAATTACCAAAACCCAGAAGTGAAACTGGGTTCAACTCGATTTGAGTACTTAGACGGAGAAAAACACAAAAAGAAGCTAAGAAAAGAAAAATGGACTTTTAGAAAGTTTTTGATTTTCAGTACGCTGGGTTGTGCATGCCACTTATGCTGCTCCAAAACACGTGGCCTAAAACAGGGCAGGCAGCTGGCACTTCTTGGTAAAGGTGATCTTTGTTGCTACCACCATCATGTATTCAAGAAAAAATAGCCTGAGAAAACCTTGTGCTGCTCGACTGAAAAAGTAGCTCCTTTAGCTTGAATTGTGGGGACCTTCAGCTTCAACAGCAGAGCCTCTACAGACCCCAGCTTCGGGGAAACAGAAAGACACGTTTATCAGGTGTGGTCCCTACCGCAAGCTGTACACCTATCCTGCACTGCTTTCATCTGGCAGGACGTGGGAGGCTGTCGTGGGGTTTTATGACTCTCCTACCTCCCTCAGAGCTAACACCCAGCCTAACTGCTCTTCCGAGGGTGGACCGGTGTGGAACCCAGTGATGGTCCCTGCAGCCAACAGACCTGGGACAAACCTCCAGAGCAGACGGAGGCCACAGACAGCTTAATGCAGCTCTAAGTGCCTGTGTGGGAAATAAGGCAACGACTTCGGTTTGCATCTGCTCGCAGCCGACAGGAGCTAAGCAGCCGCACAGCGATCGCGCTATATTTTTAAAATTATGATTAAACAACTATAATCTGAGCGAGTTCGGTAAAGTCAGGGCCAACTGCATTATGAAGAGCTTGCATCTGAGCACCAGCCATGCAGTTTGCTGCGTTTCGGTGTCTCATCAGCGCACATCAAGACCAGTTCCGAGTCACCCCCGGCAGCGGGAAACCCACAGCGAACACGGGCATCGCCCCCCGCCGACCCCCCTCGGCCCAGGGAAGGCCGCTCCCACCGCCCCGTCCCCCCTCACAACCCGCGGCCGGGAGGAAGGAGGGAGGAAGGAGGCCGGGCGGGCCCGGGGCCGCCCCTCCCCGTCCCCCCTCACAAC